AACTGTGACAAGGACGCGCGACGTTTCATTCTTTTCGTTTCTGTACTCTTATAAAAACTTCTTATAAAAGAATGATCTTGAACAGTACTATATATAACAGTACAAAGTATGAAAAGAAATAGATTATTTTCTTATTTGAATAATCGCTTTGTTTTTTTTATATACAAAATATAAAAAGTTATTTTCTTAAGTAATGGAATCGCATTGAATGAAAGCAATAAAAAGAGATTTTATTACCATCTTTTTGCTAACATTGAGTTTAATTAATATCAGGTTCGCGGCTGACATAGTCTGTATTTATCGTTATATGTGTGCATATATCAAATAACAAAACAATCATATTGGTTTTTATGTTACTAAACACTTGAAGAAATTTACGCAACAAGTCAGCGATTGAAGCTAATATTACTATATGTATATGTCATATAATTCAAGTTAAAATCTATGCCGACATAAAACAATTTATAAAGATATTTTCTAAATTGAAAACATAATTTTACTGATATTTATCGATTTCTGTGTATATTACGATTAATTAAATATTGTAATTCGTTTGGTATTTAATTTATATTAATTATATCTTTGGTATTTGATCAAGCATATGTAGATTCGGTATCTTCAATGCATGTGTGGAAGTCTATCTGTTCAGCAGAATTGACTTCGAGTAACAAATCAAAAATTTTTAATAATATAAAAATCAGTAAATTAATACATATTAAATGTTTATATTGAATACTATTGGTTTATAATATAAAAATCAGTAAATTAATACATATTAAATGTTCATATTGAATACTATTGGTTTAATTTGATATAAATTAAATGGTATTAATAAAAACTTTGGTAGAGAGAGAATTTTTTATCGGAGATTTTAATGTAATCCTCCGAATTAATTCTGCAAATTTTATTTCGCTTATTAATTTAATTATTTTTTATATTAAATATCTATTCTTCAAATATTTTGTTAAAATATTTATTTTAAATTATTAATATAAAAATAATTATTATAGATATTGATTTTATTAGAATATAATATCTGAACTAAAGAAATTAATATACATATCAAAATATGAAGGTTAATTAATCTTCATAAAATCGGCGATGGATATTCGCGTGGATTTTTATCTCCATAAATAATAGGAAATTGTTTATGACGACTCACTATTATTCTCCCAGATAATTTATTAAAAAACTGATAATTGCATTGGCTAACGAGCTGTTTGCGCGAAACATCTGGAAGCGTGTCACTATCAAATCGAAATTAACGCGATGCCCAGTGAAGTGGTCGATAATGATAACGAGCTTTGAAAAACCTCGCAATGAAGAACTGATGGACCGGCAGTGATGATATTTTTATATCCGTCCGTGTGAGAGACGAATGTCAAAAGTACGATAGGCTTGCAATCCCACATGCCGTTTTTGATAATGCAATCTTTATATATAAACAAACGTTTTGCTTCTATTCCCGCGTAGGAGAAATATTGTTCTAACCAAGATATCAATTTCTGGATCTTTTTTTTCCATAAATTGAGGAAAATCTGAATTATATGTTATTAACTTGTGTGTATCTGTTTGCATATTTCATTAATTATTAACGATATTTATTGCTGTCCAAAAATTTTAATTGGGAGTTCTCATAATTCTAAGTTCTAATAATCCTGAGTAGATAAAAAAAAGTGTTAGAATTAATTTGCTTTTGGGAATCCCCATTGAATTTTAATTTATTAACATCGATTACATTAATATTAATTATAATATGTTAATATATTTATATTAATATATTTATAACATAGCCATGTTTATATTAATATACTATAAAATCTTAATGAGCTAAAAAAATTTTAATTTAAGGAAAAGATATAAATTTAGCTTTGCTCAGCTTCTCTGAGTTTGTAATACTTGTTGATCTTTTTTCTCATCAGACATTTTACATGCTAGAATAACATCATCTGACGAAGTCACAGGGCAGCTGCCATCCATAATAAACATTCGAAAGAAAGCTAAAATTCTTCCAATCGCGAGATCAAAAGTTATCGAAATTTTTTGTGTGTTTTTTTTTTATATAAAGCAGGTTTATTTAATAATGACTGATAATGTTAAAAACATAACAGCCAGACGGCGTCTTTTTGGAACATAATTTTTTTTCCTTTGTGAATTCATAAATAATGAAAATGCACATGTAAGTGATAATTGATGTGTAATAATTGAGAAATGTATTATTCTCATTACGTTTGTAACATAAAATTCATTGTACTAATTTAATGATTTATTATTCTTGTATCAGAAAAAGACTAAATGAACAAATGGCGACTGTATTTATATATTTGCGATAACCTGCGGTTTAACTTCACCGTTCTTTTGACGTCATTTGGATATTCTTCACAAACATTCAATACTCAGTTAAAATATGTATGTAGTATCTTTCCCGCAATTTATCTTGAAGTCTACTACAAAATGAATGAAGCCCAAACTTCATTACAGCAAGAAAGAAAGTTAAATTAATTTTAGAAATTTTTTTATAAATGACGTACGTCTCTACACAGTATGCGTAACAGATTTTTCAAATGTAAAAGAATGCAAGAATACATATATCCAAATCTCTGCCACTCAATGTACGCTTTGTGTGTCGCACAACTGTAAACATGATATAATCATTAATGTTTTATTTCCCTCGCTCGCGTCTCCAATCTGTATTAAGCAATGTATTATATATACAACAGCTGTCAGAAGCACATTTTGTTGTCACGTATAGCGACCTACAATCAGTACTAAAAATTATCAAATTACGTCAATTTCGTAAGAACTGTACACGTATAAAGTCGCAACGACACATTTCGTGTTCAGGCTTGTGTGAATTATTATCGCTTCCAGGTATTACGTTATGTCGCGCCGTCAATCGTTTCGTTATTCGAATCAATCGATGGATCTTTCCAATAATTTAGCACACGATAACACATCGTGTTGCATTTAACGATGTGTAGCGTTACCCAGCAATCTGCATTTCTACTCTACGAGACGTTATATTTTTCACGATTTCTCTCATTTTGATGAGTAATAGTATTCATTTAATACATCGTAATTTTTATTGCATTCTTGAAGATTTTTTTATTCGATTAATTGTTTTGTTATATCATATCATCCTTAATTTTCCTCTATTAATAAAAATTAGCGAAGAGTATTAGTTATAGTATTGTAATTATATTATATAAATGTAATTACATTTTTTTATGTAATTGTAAAAAGTCTCTTATCTAGATGAGGCATCGGAATAAAATGGAAAAATAATTAAATTCATCATGAAAGCATTAATATTTGTTTTACTCTTAAATAATCTTTATTTTTATATTTATTTTTAGTATTTTTTCTCAAACAAATATTCACTATTTTATATAATTCCAGGATGACTATTTAATTTCGACTTTTTTTTTAATTTTTAATCTATGTTTTAATATGAATATTATTTTTGATCTTATTAATTCATTGAACTGTCTCGTTTGTTTCAAGCATCAATTATTCTACTTAAATTTATAATTTCCGTCTACTTGACATCAGTATTCTGCTCATCATTTATGCACCGACTTTCGGGTTCATCGCGATACAGTCGATGCGGCACCCAATACGATTTTATTCCAAGGCCATTCATTTATAGTAGCTTCTTCAGTTCGGGTTCTATCATCGGAGGTTCTCTGTATGGATGTGCATCGCGTGGCATTTGCATTCTCTCGCACACGTATTGCATTATCATACGTGGTGCGAAGCTAAGCGACTCCTGTGATTACGGGCGACGAACAAAAGTAATTTAATATCGGCACATATTTCACGGTGGCCTCCTACGTTAATAATTATCCGACAATTGACTTGAATAAACGCAACACCCACTGCGGTTACGTGAGATCGTACTAACAGAGTACAACACGACACTTGGATGTGGTAGTGCCCTATAAATGTGCTTAGATTTAGTTAATCCGAGGAGGTCAGAAGTTAAAAGGACGTTAAGATTTCTTTATCAACACATTTTTATATTCGAATTTTATGAGAAAAACAGAAAATTCCGCGTAGCTTCGAAGCTATTTAGGATTTTGAGTCAGGCAATATAAAATTGAAATATTTGTTGAAGATAATTCTAGATTTATTAGAATAATAAATTTATTAATATAACTTATTATTAGTAGAATATCTATTAAAGTTGTATACGTTAATTATTCACATAAAATTATATGTATACATATATTAATTAAAAAAAAGTCAACTATGATCAAAGTTAGATGTTGAATTAATACTATTTTTCGCTACAATAGTTCTTCAAATTTATGATCAAGTTTAATTTGTCAGATTATTACTTTAGTTTAATTGTATTGCAAGCCTGAAAGAATCAATGCGAAGTTATACGTATCTGAAATAAATATACGTACTTAAAAAATAAAACACATATAAAATTATTATTCTAAATCATTTAACTTTGATCGTTATAGTTGTTTCTTCTTACTTGATTTATTCATGTGGCGATCCTGTTTTTAATTTATTATTATACATATATTAATTTTATGTATCTATAATAAAATACAATAACTGTCAATTATATTTGCTAAAAAGCGTATTACGTTTGTTTTAATATTATAACTAATCATTATTTCAATATCTTGCCTGACTCTGATCCAATATCTGTTTGACTTCTACGATACTGAAATTTTTTATTCAGCATATATTCAGAGTAGACATCATATGCATGTTGCAAGATACATAGTTTCTATGTTTAATAGGCATTAAGAGAATATTTTATTCCACATATGTTAAACACTGATGAGCGTGCCGTCCATATGTACTAATAGAGCATCATTTAGAACATTATTCACATCCATCTGTGTCACGGTTATCTTTTCATGGAATTGTCATTGGTAGAGACGACTTTACTTCTTACCTCCTCGATTAGAATTCGCGATATACGTATCAATGTTGAACTATACGCTTGAAAAATACGTTAAATAATGCATTGTTTACAGGTACTGTCTATGAGCGAGGAGTTTAGGCGAGCTCTTTACGCAAACAGTGCCATTTCTCTAGACAACGACGTTATCGTGCCCGATCTCATCGGCACGACGGAAATACTCAGCGATGAACACAGGGAACAGCTCTGTCATCATCTGCCCGCGAGAGCGGAAGGCTATCAATGGACTCTCGTCTTCAGCACTAGCCAGCATGGCTTCAGTCTCAATAGCATGTATCGAAAAATGGCTAAAGTCGAGAGCCCGATTTTGTTAGTCATTGAAGACACGGAGGGAAACGTAAGTTCCCTGTTCCTTAATTTAAATTGTAGAAATTATTGGTTTTAATTTGATTAGTTTTAATTTAATCTAAGAATACAACTTTTGAAAATGAATACAAACATATTTCTTGATATTGCATTATGATTGTACACAAATAATAAATCTAAGCACATATCTACATATCGTGACATATATCAGGAAAGCAGTTTTTTAATAAATATACAAGTATTAAAAGTGCATTTATTTAATAGAAAAATATGCGTTGTTGAACTGATTTCTCAAATGTATATATTATCAGAAAGATAAACTAATTATAAGTGGAAAACAATTCAATGTAGTAAAATGTCGAAGTCAATTGACCTAATTAATTTGAAGTAGAAAGTTCTGTGATTATCATAATTAGTCTGAACGAAAGATTAATATAGATTTTCACAAAGTTATCATGTTGGCTTACTTCGTGAATTTTCTATAACCGTTCAAATTGGCTTATTGCTCTCTTCCATTCGGATTGTTTATTCGAAGCGCGAAGTAAAAACGAAATATAAACGTAAAATAATCTTTTTCTCGATTTTACCATATGTACATATCGCAGCCTTCATGAATCACTTCTTTCTGTCACAGGTGTTTGGTGCACTGACCTCATGTTCGCTACACGTGAGCGATCACTTTTACGGTACTGGCGAATCTCTGCTCTTCAGGTTTACGCCAAGGTTCCAGTGTTTCAATTGGACCGGGGACAACCTGTATTTCATCAAGGGCAATAACGAGAGTTTAGCAATCGGTGCTGGAGAGTAAGTTATCTAAATTAATTTTTTTTTCAAAAGCACCACTGTTCCTTTGCTGTTGAAGAGAGTTTGACGGAATTGATCTTGTTTTCAGCGGCAAGTTTGGGCTCTGGCTAGACGGTGATCTGTATCAGGGCAGGACACAATCCTGCAGTACATACGGCAACGAGCCGTTGGCGCCACGCGAAGATTTTGTCGTTAAAACATTGGAATGTTGGGCGTTCATATAGGACACGGCCTTATATTCCCAGCCCGTCACTCCTTCGCCATCACCACAGCCTAATTTAACCTGAACTTGTGAACCTTACGAAGATATCGTCTCCAAGAGAGATCAGAGGAAAACTACCTATTCTAAGGACATTGTCGGAAAAGTTGAGTCGGATCAATGTTGTCACAACACCGATTAACTCTATCATTTGGGGAAATCTCGCCCAGTGATAGACATGATGATTCTCCGAGGAGAAAGAAATGAATCGTCAATGTCCGCACGAAGAGACAATGACAGGCATTGCCTGAAGATGGTGAAATTGACGAGAAGCAGCCTTGAAAGGGATGCGGACGGTAAAAAGAGACTGTCATGGCCCGAAGTTATGCGATTATAGCGTGTGCCTATTTGCATATCGCGTAACTACTGAATATCGTTAATTGCTCCTGACTCCCCTGTCTTTTTTAAGTTGGCGTATTTATTTTATTTTTTTATATTCTGTTGAATGAGATTGTCGCTCGTCAATTTGATTTGTGGTTATTGTAAGTTGACCTAGAGAGAGTCGAAGAATTATGATTACTTTATATAATAATCGTTAATTCGAACTAGTCGTGAGTTTACACATTTAACGTCGATATAAAGATAATTATGATGATGATGATGATGATGATGATGATGATGATGATGATGATGATGATGATGATGATAATGTAAATGCAGATGTATAATGATGGTGGTGTTAAAAGAATGAAAGTGTGAATGATATGGATGGTAAATGCGAGGCGAGATATATAACGTTTGAAAGAAAATACAATTTACAAATTCAATATGATGAAGATGCTAAATCTAACAGTTTGTTGATGTGTAGATAATGTAGATAGTAAATGTAAATATATATATATATATATACATACATACATATTATATATATACTATGATCGTGTTGCAATGATTGATTTTGACGGTATAAGTAGAGAGAACTCTTTACGGAACGCTGTGTAGCTTGTCATGTGCATAATGCAGGCAAATCAAGAAACGTACACGACATGCATATACATGTTATCACATGGATATACATGAGGATTAATACACAGATTACGGGAAGTGTGCTCTCGATCAACCGAATATAAATGATCCATGATCTGAGAAAAAAATGTAGTTTTAGAGAAAGAGATACCTCGAACTGATCTTATGATTAGGAGAGGAACGAGAAATCGAACGAGAAGTCAATGATATGCGGATTGACTTGAGTCAAGCGTATTCGCGATCTTGTCGTCAGTAAATTAGTAAATGTGCTTTCGAGTCACGAGTGACCACAACGAACACACATGCCTGTGCCTGCTTCGCTCTCTTTGTCTCCCTCCGCCAAGTGTACTCGCGATCTGCAGCGAGTATCTCGAGCGTGAAAATCCATCTTACTACCAGCGTACGAATTCCCTGATGTAAACGATCAATCAATCTAGATAACACATCAGATGAAGAATCATCGCGTTCTACTCGCGTTACGATGCTCTTTTAGACCTAGTCCAACTTTGTACGACTATATACACACAATCACATATTGTCCGAGCTTATAATCTCTATTGCACGAGCGTCGCCGGATTGAAAACAAATGTGTGCATCGCCCATTTCTATCCAGCGCGCTTCGTCGATTTGCAAAGAGAAAGTGAGAATAAAATCTTGTACACGCGCAAAGTGAGTGATTCTCAAGCGTGAAAAAAGAAAAGAGAAAATGCGCAAAAATGTTTTATCAGTTTCGATATTGTGCGAGACCGAATGGAATTTTTCTAATATATTAAGTTACAAACATCGTGGCTGAGTTGCAACCATTTGAGAAGGCCCACTTCGACGCGTGCCAGACCCACGAACGTAACAACTTTCAACGAATCACATATTTTATACCACATAGACCTAATGACGACACCGTCATATATTTCTCTCCTTTTCCCCGTAATTACTCTAGACACAATTTCTACTCCACGACCACGCGTTGTATTGTTTCTATATATGATTACAGATCCTCGTAATCTTAATAAAGGGGTTCCTCTGCCAGTTAATTACTGATCAGCAGGGCCGCATACGACGACCAAGAGTGCATATTATACTAACGACAACATAACATACGCGAGCACAATAAAACACACGCAGAAAACTTTTGATCTACCTTTACCTATTTACCTCTTTCTCACACGTGACACACGATCCTTCTCTGCCGATGTAACATCATCGGAGAACGACTGAACGTTCGAAAGACTGAACGGTCGATCCAAGATATCCTGGGAAAATGAGACTCAAGTGTTCGCGCACTGGTTACAAGACGCACTAAAAAAAAGGAAAGAAAAAGAGTAAGAAGCGCGTGATCAAAACTGTCGACTAGGCAGAGTATAGTGTGACACTTAATGAGAATTTGAAACTGACACAGTTCCAATGAGTTTAATTTTCCACGTGATGCGAAACGTAAAGACGTAATGTAGACATTGCAAGATAGACTTTATTAAACCTCATAAACTTATCACGAGTGAACATAGAGTCCGTTTTCGGATGCATGTAGTATGAAATCTTAGCAAGATCCTAGTTTGTCGGGATTGTTTCTCGATCCCACGATGTCGACGAAGCACAAACAAAGTATCAAGTCAACATGCAGCACTACTGGCTTTATTAGGGTAGTAATCTTGAATTTGTACATTCAATGCGACACATAGTAACACGTTGCGTACGATTAGCGTTGCTTAGAGCGTAAATTAGATTAGGCGTAATCATGTGATATTAAGTAAAAAAAAGAAAAAAAAAAAGAATTGCGTTCCTAGATGATTTATCGAATCGCTTCAACAGTACCACATGATTGCACATGCGACGTCGTCATGTACACTACATACACATATACACAAACCACATTTTGAGATAGAGGTCTTTTCGCTTTCTTGATCCGCGAAGCGTGCATGCGATAGCGGGAACATTGCTCGAGGAACAAACGGATTCGAAATCCACGGTCAGAAATAATAGCATCATGTACGAGAAAGAGCGAAGTACGTGCATCCGACAACAGGTGACGATAATGATAAGTCAAATAAAGAGAAAAGAAGTACTCATGACCCTCGCCTTAATGTGAAAAAAAATCAAGATGTCAATGTGCACTGTAACGAAAATAAAACACTTAAGTATGTCTGGGAAACGAGCTTTTTGTTGGTTCTTTATTTTTCTTTGTTTCGTCGTTTGCACTTCTTGTGTGTCTTTTGTTATCGTTTAATTATTCACATAAGAACATTATAACAATACAATTAAACGAAGAGGGTCATATTCGGTCAAGGCAGATCTAAGCGTCTAAGGATTAAACAAATTAAACTGAAAATGGTAAAATTCACACAAAAATATCATGTGTAGGTACTAAGACCTGCCTTGACCGAATATAGTCTTTGCTTAATTGCGTTGAACATTTCTCAGTAAATTTTCACTTACTATTCATTATAACAATGTATGTACGATCTTCCGGTTGGCCAACACCTCGAAGATGAGTTCGATAAATTTATATTATGTTTTAGCACCGTATCGTGAACTTTGCAAATCTGAGGTGATAAAGATATCTATAAGATTATTAGTTTACACGCCTAGGGAGGTATTACGAATAATGTTTGCTAATTAATAGTTACATCTCTATGCGTGATAGTATGCCAGTCTTTTTGCACACACAGACACACACCAGTATCATACATCGCCGTGTGTTAATGCGAATGGCGCTCCTCGCTATCATCTGAGTGAGATTTGCTTTTCTTCTTCCACAAAGCGTCTTCTGTATCGAATGTAGGAGTACACGGCAGATACAGATTATCTAGAATATTTCAAAGAAACACGCGGTACTGCCTCTGTAGAAGTAAATTAAAATGTATCCAGTGGCGGATTATTCATTAGACGTAATAAATGTTTCACAGTTTTACATAAATAATTGAAATCAATTATACAATTGATAGACTAATATTCGTGACATATATTTAAATATTAGATATTTAAATTGTTCCTGTAGTAAATAATATATATTTTTAAATAACATACGTTGATTTTATACATACAACATGTTGGATAATTTTTTAATTCATTTATTTAGAACAACGTTTTGAGAGCCTCGAAATGTTCCAATCCGCCACTGAACGTAAGAAATGGGACTAGAAAAAAAATATCCCTGCTGTAACGAACGATTTCCTGTTGTACATATGTATGGACATTTCGTCCTGCGCACATTTATAGGACACCTCCTGTGAAACTATTTCGAGAAATCGTTAAATTAACTATCATGATTATGCAATTTTCGGCACATTGTATTTTTCGATAACAGAAGATACAACTCTTACATTAACAGCGTGACGAACTTAAGAGCCTGAGAGAAATGCCACTATCCACTGTACACATCCAGTTTACGGATGTGTTTACAATGAACTGTTTATAATAAGCGTTATAAAATATCTTGGAACACACACAACCAATGTTGTTTCATTGCTCGGAAGTAAAAGGAAAAATTATTACATGTTCTAATACAGAACACTCGTGCTTCTCTATGTCCAAATCGCAGAACGTTAACGGTTGTGTTAATCTGAAAATTAAAGATATGCAGGGATATGTAGGGTGTTCCATTTCATTCGTGTCAATTTTTAACAATCAATTCTTATGAATGAAAAATCGATTTTTTTCTTGAAAATGATTAATGGGTGATTTTATTGTGAAAATATACATTAAAAAATTCTTTGGATCGCGTAACATATATAAACAGATGATAAAAATCTTATTTTTCAGTCTGGATATATATTTTAATTTATAAAATATCAATCATATAATTTTTCCCCTTATGGCGGAAACGTGAAAAGTAAAAATTTTTATTTTTCACGTTTTCACTCCAAGGGAAAAATTATATAATGCTGCCCTGGATATTTGGGATGCATTCCGTTATTCATTACGAGTACTGAAAATCTATAGTTACTATACTATAGATTTTCAATACTTCCAGTGAATAACGGAATACAGCCTTGATATCATAAAAAATGTAATCAATAAATCAAATTCATGATATTTTTATTATAAAAATATTATTGAATCTTTTTTACTTATACTTTCTTTTAAAAAATGAGATATTTCCATAAATAGATGTTTAAAAAGAGACAGAAGAAGATTGTGTGAATATTAATAAGTTGGAATTGCAAGAATGAGATGGAACACTCTACATATATTATGTTCTAAATCTATAATTGAGTACATGTAGTATCTGTGTATATAAAAATCCATAAATGAGAGTAGCGAGAGTTCATGCTAAAAATCGTACGCTCGGTACCGTTATAATACAGATGTACCTGCGCATACACACGTAGTCGATATTAGCGATCGTTAGCGAACTGAATGTAAAAAAAGAGAGAGATTCGAAGAGAAGAAGAGAGACAAAAACTCAAGCAAGCAGCACAACAAGGAGACACATACCTTCGGTATACACAATTGTCAATTAGATTCAGACTGACTGCAGGGATTTGAACACGCATAAACAGTTCGATGTTCTTCGATGTTTAGCTAGATAAAGTTGTCGTCGTCGTCGTCGTCGTCCTCGTTAATGAGCACGTTATTGAGAACACGAATCGACGCATTTAACTCGGGCCAGTGGCGATAAATGTGAAGCGATTAGCGGCTAACGGGACCCATTTGACATAATGAAAAAAAAATATTCTAATATATATACAGATATATATATTATCAGAAAGAGAGAGAGAGAGAGGGAGAGTAGAATATCAGAGTTCGTTTGAGGTAAGAAATGTTGATCTTAACTAAGGGAGTCATCGCACAAGCCACTTTGGTCTCGCTACGGAACCACAATTAACACTGTGTATGCTACGTTATTGATGTGCAATCTATTCTACATTTACGCAGCTACCTGTAAACGGAGATGTCCGTGTTCCTCGCCGTGAAATTCTGAATGTTTTCGACTGATGCTTTTGGGAAAAAAATTTTTAATTGTGTTTGCTTTGCGCTGTCGTGTAAGCAGCTATCGCCAAAAGTTAATTAAAGTTAACTGAAATCTAATTGATCCGCTGTCTCTTTCGCTCTTTCTCTCTTTTCCTCTGTCTTCGGAAAGAGGCAGAGCATTGGTTTGAATATCAGTTAACTTTGACTAATGTTTAGAGAAATGATCCCCTGTTGCATAAATGTTTGATCGGCTGTTAATGTAGACAGGTATCCGTAGAACTGTTCTTACATGATCAAGAAGTCATTTGGTTCAGTACGAAAATCTGGATAATTGATGTGACGTTTGTAGCGATTTCTGTGTTGAAGAAAAAATCAATTCTAGTAATAGCTAGCGCAACGAAATTCTGTTGTAACCGGAGATATAGGCAGAGCAGAGATTTTATTGAACTCAATGGCAAGATGTTCCAATATGCGAGCATTTCGATGTAAGGAAATTTGCAGTACAACAATATTAACTCAGAGACTTGACGCGGGGCGTTGTAACGAGATCTCACTGTATGTTATGAAAGAGCGACATGCTCTCGGCGATTAGCAGCTATACTAAAAATAAATCCAGTTTGCGAAAACAAAGGAAATCGGACGATATTGTAAATTTATGCGATATATCCGCTGGAAAACTATTGCGCCAATTGTACATATGTATTTCAATCTGATAGCATGTCTCCTACAGACAACAATAGTAATCCAAATAATTTACGTCGAGTTGTAAAAAGAAAGAGTCCAGGCATTCCTTTCATCTGTCAATTGTTCCAGCAGAACGTATTGAACAACACACGTTCAAGACATTATCCATTACAAATGCTGGCGAAACTAAGAAAGCGGATGTATCTGGCAAAAGCAGTCTAGACTTCTTTGGTATGTTTTATTTAAATGAATTAAGCGCAGAAACAATAGCGATCTTTTTCTTTGTATCCTTATGGCGCCGAGAAAATTCGCATAGAACCAGATTCAGGATAGATATTTATGATATAAAAAGAGACAAAAAAAAAAGAAAAATGAAAAATATTTAACAAGTCTGATTATGTCAACCCTTTTATTTCCCATTTCCAACATCTCACAAGTCGTCCTTGCTTATCTTTAAGATTATAGAAATACTTGCTCTCTTACAGATAATTAATTCTATTCTTAATGCTAATTGAATATATTTTAATGTGGTAAAATTTTACATAATTAAAAGTATCTCAATATATATAAAAACAGACGCTAAATGATATATACCAAATAAATATTCAGTATTAACAAATGGTAAATATTATTTCACATTATTTATATACATCTTATTATTTATACAAAATTAATTTCATAAATCATTAAACAATCTTATGTAAGTAAACAGATAAAAAATTAATATCTTATCATTAATAGATATTACATTCTTATTTATTTTATTTGTAAATATCTTATGTAATTTAGATGTGATAACAATTCATAATAGGATTAATATATTCAATATCCACTATACGAAAGAAACAATAATAATAGCAATAAAAAGTATAAGTATCACTATCCAATAACCACATGTACGATCTTTGGAATTAATATTACGAACCTGTTGAGTCTTGTTAATCAAAGATTCATCAGTCCTATCCATATGATCAGCCAGATCATCAATTATTTCTACATTACAATATAATACAATTTTAAAAAGTTATTTTTATGTTATATCATTTAAATATAATCTTTTTTATACTACTCACCATTTTGGTGATCCACTTCATTACTAATTGTTTGTCCAATTTCTTTTTGGCGAGCTATTACTTTACATAACTCCTCTAAGCCTTTATCTTGTTCTACAAAAAATTAGAATAATGCACAGTATATTTATTAATATTTCTACAAGAAATTAAAATACATACAATATATTTATTAATTTCTTCTCTAAGAATTATTATGTACCTATCAATACTCGTTCTTGGTGACTCATAAGATCATTAACAGATACTTGAACATTTAATGGCTTATCATCATCATCGTCAGCAGCCCAAGAAGTTGTGCCTCCATCAGCGAAAGCTGATGAGCCTGCCCTTAATAAACTAGTGCGCGATGACATATAATCATTTGTACGTGGCTCATATAATTTGTGTAATTGAATGTCTTTGCTTTGCAACTGTTCCACTTGCCTCGTCCGACGTTCAGCTTCCTCAAACGTTCTGTCACACAGATGGTATATTAAACAACTCATCATTTTAGAATTATTATTTTGAAGTCTAAACTAATGCTACAAAATATATAAACAAATATATAAACAGAAGAATACATTGTTTTTAATTTAGAAGCTTCTTCCACTTTGCATTTTAATTGCTGAACTTCCCGTGTGTACTGCTTCATACGCAATCTTATATTGGCTGACAAACTGGCGTAGACTTTTGATGTCTTTGGTTCTCCATCACGCATAGTGAGCTGTTCCATAATTTCACGGAACAGTTTCTCACATGCGTCATATTCCGTAAGCCTAATCATACATAGTCAGGTCTCAATCAATTTCTTTGTAAGTATATTATATAATTAAATTACAGTAATTAATAACTATTAATTCAAATAAAAGAGGTAATTTTATTGCTTGAAATCTCGTACGTATAATAGATTGGATATGTAAACAAATGTTATAAAATATAATTTATAATTTACCAAGGATCAATTCCTTCGATGTTGACAAGCGCCATTTTTGTGTTTGCTAATGCAAATATATCTATATTATTATTCCAAAGAATATAATCGTATCACAAATGTGTACTTCAACATCATCCGTTATGGAAATCATTAATTCCTTAGTAATTCAAACATTTATGGTCACATCCTTTTTGGATAATCACAATCAACTGAAGTAGTGATGACAATTTTTACATCATATGACGATAATACAACAGTTTTATAAATAAAATAAAACAAAGCAATGCAAACTGCGCGATTGCTTTAATGTACAGATAACCTGAAAATTATAAATTGTCAAATAGCTTTTATTCGACTAACCGATCGACGTCATGTTGAGGTAAATATCGATATTATTATCGATTGTTGTCGATAGTTTGGCTTGGGCCAGCTATCGATGTTTCTGCCTCGATGATTTCCCAGCAAACGAGAATGGATTTAAATGGATTGAAATTTTTTTCTATCCGCGCGAAAATGCGTATTTTAAATAGCGAATACTTTTTTTTGGATTTAATTGGATGCAATTGGATGGAAATACTGCATTTCCTATTCAAAATTTTGAATTGAACAATATTCACAATTGTGTGTTTGTGCACAGAAAAAGTTAATATTATTTTTAGATTGAAAGGCATAGAGATATGCTCCATGCAATTCCTATAAATGAATAAAAATGCATTCAGGATTAAAAAACATTCATTTTGATATTCGTGAATCAATATTTCTAAAAATCTGAATCCATTTCAATTCATTTCAATCCATTCTCATTTGCTGGGTTGCGAGTTTTTTCATTATAAATCAATAAAAAAAGTCGATTCAAAGTTTGAGTTTCAAGTTTTAGTGAAAATTGTCTAAAATATTATTCGAAAATACTGTATATAGCCATTTCATTGGCTAAATACTGAGAATATATGAAATTAGATGAATTAAATGCAAAAACATTTCTATTTTTTTTATATTGATTGGTCAATTAAGTTTCAATATCAATTTTTATATGTTCAAAACTGACACGTATAGAGAACAAAATAATATTCAATTTTTTAAATTTAGAAATGTGATAGATCGATTTATCTACCATATGTAGTAGACGTTATTAATATTTTTCAATTTTAAATTGGAGGTATTTATATCATAGAATTCATATCACTCTAAAATTTGTATATTAAGATATTATTGATAAAAACACAAAATTTAATAAAATTTTATTTACAGCATGTTTTATATATATATATATTTTATATCTTTAATTGATTTTTTAAAACATTTTTAATTGACAAACATTTTTGCCTCAGATTCGTGTAATCGCAGAATTTCTGTTTCTTTAATTGTTGGTGAATGTAAGATTTGCACTCTTCTAGGTGTTCTATTCCCCAAATGATGATATGGGACGGTCACTCTCTTATTGTTTATAAAATAGTAGTTCAGTTGTTTCATAAGGCGTTCGATAAACGTGCAGTTTCTTTTACAGTACCCATTTTTCAGATGTATACCCCGTAATTCTGTAGCTTCTGACTCATGAACCTGAATATTTGATATCTGCAAAGAGAGCACTGTGAATGCCAGAATCAAAAGAAACTAACAAATTAACAAGTAACAAAAAATTAAGCCTTAATATACACAATTTGGGTCATTTATGTGCCCTGCGCGTTTCTTTTTTATTTTTTAAAATATTAGATTTAGAAATACTGAATTTGATTAAATAATAAGGATCTTTTTTTCTTAAATAACAACTTGTAAATATTTTCTAAAGATATTAATATATATATATCAAAAATTACTTAATAATCGTTATATAATATATATTTATAAAGGTAATAAAAATGAACCTGGAGCACAAACAACCCATCCTGTGTAGTGAAAGACCGGAAAATTGTATGCATTCAGGGTTAAACATTAATTAGCCAATAAGTCGGAAGAAATCGAAAAAAAAGAAAATAATAACACACAGAAAAGCTTAAAAGAATATATCCATTCACTTGAGTTCACATTTTCATTCCCGGATAACTGCAACTCATTCCCGGATCTCTCGCTAGTTGCACGTTGCGTTTTATCTCTAGCTGTAGTCTTCGATGTTCCGCTTTTTAATCTCTTTTTAATTGCTTCTCGTGGATCCCTAACCACTTGATTTGCGATACGGTTCTTTATCGACGTTGTCGAATCCGCTACAGATGTTGAGACTGAAGAGTTTCTCACGTGTGGGCTGGCGACGTTGTTGCTGCTGCTTCTCAATAGATTTTTAAAAACATTTGTTTCTCTCGTTCTGCTCTGAGATTCTCCTGTATTTTTCAGATTTATCGTCGAATGTCGATTGCCGCTCGACGATTTGCTGTTGAGGTTCAATCGCGCGGCTGACTTTTGCACACTTTTTTCGTTTTTCGGAGTCGATGTAAAGTTCGAAATTACAGGAAACGTGAAGAGGGATGGGAAACGATTCGACGCGGATGAATCGTGAGATACATTTTGCAAGTGTCTGGACGAGTTATCCGTAACACGGGGTACTAAATGCCGAAATTCTGTCTGCAGCTTCTCGATCTCGTCGAGGCGCACCAGGATATCATCGATGTTATCTTCGGCCATCTCAGAATTTTTATAACGCAACGATTACATCTTGAGTTTATTATTTTCTTCGTTACATTTTAATTTTTCTGAAAATTAGTTATCTCAAAATTGAGAACGCACGATCTTCAACGTGAAGATCGTTCATATTTTGATATTTAATGTCGATGCGACGTTATTATATAAATGGCGCATCGTTGACATTGTTAATTAATAATTATGCTTTCAGTGGTTAGGAGAGAAATAAATTCTGACAGATAATAAAATTACTTAATTGACGTTAAGAATAATTTTTGTAAAATAACATATGAATTTTTATTATTATGCATATAAAATATTATTTATTACTGTACTAATAACTAAAGTATTAAATATTATCAGAGTTTATTTCCTTTTCTATAATTAGCAATTTAAAAGTAGCTGATGGATACACATATTGCGGACACAAATAACGAACTAACTTCTAACTCGCATCACTATTCATCTGAGAATGCAGAAATTAATATTGATAACATCATCGCTACTGTAACCCAACTAAATATCAGAATCTTTCGATTACAAGAAGAAATCGTCGCATTTAAAAATGGAAACATAATTTATTCTGTGAATAATTTAACAAGGTATATTAATAAGAAATTAAGATATTTTTACAATTTTTTTGTAAATAGACATAAATGCATTACTTAGAATATATTGTAAATATTGAATGTATACGAAAAGAAGGGTTTTACTGAAATATTTAAAAATTTACCTACATCTGAAAATATACTTTCGTTAAATCATCAAAATAATTACGTAGAACGCTTAAATATTGATAACAATATAATGCTGCAAAAAGCATTAACATTTAATAATCAGTTTATATGCCTTATCTAATTAATAATTTAAACAGCATTAATTATTTTCAGATCTGCATTTATTTGCTGCTATTATAGTTACCTTCTTTAGATAATTTAGCAAAACCATTCTTTCCATGAATAAATATGGAAATAGACTTTTCTTTAATGCAATCAAATTCGTCAAAAAATTAATCCTTAAATTATTCTTCGCTGGTTTTGCTGTTAAAATGTGATCTACCTTCTACGCTGTAAAATTTATATTCAAATTAATATGAGCAAATTGACTTGCGACTTATATATTTTTGTTACCGATTAATACTTCACGCATGAAAACATTTTGATGTTCCAGTTTAACACCAGCAGGATTTAATCATTCGACGAAAAAGGGAGAAAATCGAATGGTTGCACGCTACGAGCCGCGAAGAAATTTTAAGAGGGACGATTCGCCAGGCGGCACTGATTTATCCGCTCGTTTATCATTCGCGAAACGTGCACGGGAAGTAAAAGCGGCGAACGAGGCGGTCGTATTTAAAGAGGATTACCCGCGTGACGATAAATCAATCGAAGATGATGAACGGCCAAATAGATCGCGCGTGTCTGAACCGTCGGGAACGTATCGAAAGTCCATTTCGGACGCCGAAAAATCCGGGAAAGAAACCGATGAGAGACCGGGATATGCAAGAGACACTGGGGACGCGAGAACTTCACGTGTTGCAAATGAGAAGCTGAGGAAGCTTAATGAGAATCGAAACGAGGAAATCGTTAACGAGACGGACTGTAGTTCTGCCAGTGTTTTTGCACCCAAAATTAAGAGAAAAAGAATTTCTAGAGGCGTACAATGCGATTCGATCGGACATCGTAGTCATGTAGGTCGATCTTTTCTCAATCGCTTTAAATTGAAATTGAAAAGACACAGTCTGAAACGAAAAGCAAAGAGGAAAAAAGCTTCAGCGAATAAGTTTGATGTTGAACCACGAATTGAAGTGAATATATTGCCAGGTGCGACAATAATAAGCGACGAATCTCATAACGAGATGAAAGAAAAAGTAAATAATACAAGTACAAAGAAAGACGAGTTTGAGAAGATGAATGAGAAGAAAATAGAAAGAATCACTTATGGAAACGATAATGGATCATTCGTACAAACGCAAAATATACATGACAACGAAAAACCGAAAGATGATTTGAAGTATCGCAAAGTGAAAATAAATCTTCTTGACAAGTTACGGCTGGGAAGAGCTTTAATGCATAAACATGATTCGGAAGCGCAACAAAACGAATTAGGACATGAATCTCGAAATCATAAAGAAAAAATTGTTAAACTTAATTGCGAAAATAAAAAAGCGAACTGCGCCCGTAAACGCGAAGACAACTCACAAGGTGTAAAAATCGATTGCGAAATGGATTCGGGTAATAGATGGAAAACCATTAAAACTGCTAATAAAGAAAGTGATATAAATAAAATCAAAGAAAGATTGGATTCGTGTATTGCCGAATTAAACGGAATAATTGGCGATGTTCGTGCGATATTTGACAATAAGAAAGAAGCAGTAAAGAATTTCTAAAGGTATTAACTCGTCAAGTTATTTGTATCGTTTTTGCAGTAATAAATTAAAATGTGTATAAGGATTAATTTCATTAATAAACTTTATTAATTCTACCTACATTTTAATTCATCAATTATAAAGAAATATTGTAACTCCAGTTAATTGTAGAAATACTGCAACTCTATCGATTGAGCTAATTGTTGAACTAAATTAAAGTGGCTAAAGCCTTAATTAATGCGTTGTCTACAACATATGGAGTAAGAAAAGTAAGAAATTGACCAATCCCGATTATTCTTCTCATAATCGACTGTGATTGGCCAATTTCTTACTCTTACTTCTTACTCCTTGTGTTGTAGACACATGCCTGTATTTAAAATAGCAGACGACGTACTATACATATATATCACAAACGTGGCGAGTGAATGGAGTGAATTTTTAACGCGGCATTCTTTCTGCGAATATGCGCGTCGTTTTTCGCGAAACTTACGGGAACGAGAAAGAGATAGTTTATTTGAAACCAAACGGTAAGGTATTTGTGATGTACTTGATGATAATCGATTAAATCATTTTCTACATATCATAGCAGCTACATCTTAACTCCGCGTTGATTTGTTGACAGTTGACACCCGTTGGCCAGATGATTTTAGCACAAGTGAAAGAAAATTCGGTCTCACCGAATCACAAACCGTTCATTCTCGGATTACGTCTGTCTTCAAACAGATATTTTTGCCGCAAGGATATCCGAACAGTGTGCATCCTGACTACACGGCGTATCAGATATGGGACACGGTGCAGGTTAGCTTAAATCTGCAAGTAAACATATTTGATATATGTTTGGTTGATACTCTATAATTATGTTATTGTAATACAGTATTATTATAATACATTATAATAAGATTTTTTTTTGTTCTATTCTGCATTGACAAAGTGATTCATGAAGAAAAAAATATCATTTTACAGGCTTTTGCCAGTACTATAACAGGTACGCTGACAACTCATTCTATAATGAAAGGGATAGGAGTCGGAGAGTCAAATGCTACACCTTTGGCAGCGGCAATAACGTGGATCTTGAAAAGTGGCACTGGGATGATTGGGAGTATAATGTTTGCATGGTGGAATGGGTAAAGAATAGACAATAGATATTCTCTAAAAATATTTGTTACGCAATGCTTAACAAATATGTGCTTTTGTTAAGTAATGCTAAACAAGGTATTTTGCTTCTTTCTATTATAGGACTGAATTAGATGGACAATGTAAAAAATGGAGACTATTTGCTGATATTTTGGATGATATAGCCAAAGGAATAGAATTACTTGTACCATATTTCTCTTCATATTCTGTTATAATTTTGTGTATTTCGACCACTATGAAGTCCATTGTCGGTGTTGCTGGTGGAGCTACGAGAACAGCATTAATTCATCATCAGGTATAATTATTCATGTAATATTGGCTTTGTGCTAAGATTACTTTCTTATCATAGGCGGTACAAAATAATGTGGCAGATGTCTCTGCAAAAGATGGGAGTCAAGAGACTTGTGTAAATCTAATCGCATCATTCTTTGGAATCTTTATATTATCTTTATTCCACGATGGACAGTATGTATCTAGTATACTTATCGTATCTGATTGGTATTACGAATTCTTTTAATAATGATGAAGTGATATATATATATAGATATGTACTAGAACTGTATCTCTTCCTGGTAGCAGTCCATCTCTATGCAAATTATTCGGCAGTTAAAGCGTTATGTTTAGATACACTCAATGAAGATCGTCTGGCTATAATTGTTAAAAAATACATGATGAACGAGCAGATTCCCGAGCCATGGAAAGTAAATAAGAAAGAATCAGTATTTCTACTTAAAAATCCTAGTAAGATATTAAAATTATTTGATCATTTGTTTTCATTGTATATATAAGAAAAAATTTTTAACAGTTTATATGGATATTATTTTTAGCCAGAGGCATACATGGTTTTGATATAAAAATAGGTGTATCATTTGCAAATATTTTGAAAAGAAATATAATTTCACTCACAGAAATGGAATTTTTATTAAAATTCTTTGAAAACAGGAAGTATATAATAATAATAGATATTGAAAAAAGGAATATATTTGTAATTCTCAAAAAAGATATACAATCTGTCGAAATATTAGAAGCATACTTTTATGCTTCTATGTGTGCTTTCTACCTTTGTATAGCAAGAAAAATACCAATAGTAAGAAATTAAAGCTTTTTTTATATTTTTTGTTACTTATGCATATTTTATTGTAATTATACTGTGATATCACACAGGATATGCTGTTGAAGTCTGAAACATCCGAAATATCATATCCATTGCTGAATACATATGTCCTGCAAAGGATACATACGGTTTCACATTGGGACATGTCAATAACTTTACAAAGTGTCAGTGCTACAGATGTAACTGTCTCTAATGAATATAAAGCATTCCTTAACAATCTAGAAATACAAGGTATATAATAATTTCATTAAATAAATAATGATTTAACATTAAGTACAAATATAAGTATCTACTAATAATTCTAGGATGGAAAACGGGAACAAATTTATTAGCAATTGGAGCATGGAGATTTTCCATGGATAATAATGGATAATTAGACTATTATTTAAATCATATTAAAAATTAATTGTTGAGAGAGAGAGAGAGAGAGAGAGAGAGAGAGAGAGAAGAAAGAAAAACAATTATTCTTATAATTGCTCATTATTCTTTAATATTAAAATAATTTTTCTACTCAGTAATTAAAAAATAAAAATAATATATGAGAATAAAGCCACTTTGAAAAATAGATAAGGAAATAATTTTATTTCCAACAATTTATAAAAATATAACACGCCTGTCGTACTGTACAAAATATTATGGTCTTGGGCTATGATTCCTCCTCCGTTCTAGGTCCAGTCTGTGATAAATGTTTTACTATATCTACCCAGTTCCATCCTCGCTGTCTTTCACCTTTGCCATCTGCTTTGTTCCACTGTCTACGCTTCTGGGCTTTACTTAATTGTTCCTTCTTCGGTTTCTTTATCGTTTCCTCGACCTTAGGAGTATTAAGATATCACTTTGCTTGCAACAATTTTTAGTAATAATAATCATATAATAGAATAGAGATATACCTGTTGGTTTTCTTCTGTAATTTTCAGCTTACTAGTATGTGAATTTATATCGACAATTGAGTCGGGTTGCGTGCACACTAAGTCTGCATAATGTTCTTGGACAGATTGAAATAACGTATATGTCATAGCGCTACCTAACCACTGCTCAGCCTCTGCCTCTACGTGATTCATCACCTTGTCCTTGACCTCTTGCAAACTATATTCCAATTATTCGTCTTTGATCAAAGTAATCAAATGAACAAAAATAGTTAAATGCTTAGCTGCACTTACATATGTTTATTGTAAAATGTATTCATATTGATAGTTGGTTTCTCTGTAGGATATGTTGCACCCCATGAAATTTCCAACAGAAATGACTTCATATCGTTATCTTCTCCGTACTACAAAAAAAATCACTGACTAATATATATAATTTATTTCAATTCCAAATTTGCCTGACATACAAATAAGAAACACTTTTATGAAGTATAGCAAACTACTTTTTTATTCCATTTTATGATTAAAATTAAGAGAGTGTTAATTTTTTCTTCTTTTATAATTATGAAATGGAACAAACATTATATATTTAAATGATACTTTGAAGAGATACAAAGAAAAAAACTTTGAATAATACTTAAGCTATGAAGTATACTTTTGTATCAAAATAGAGTTATTTAATACAAATATTCTTTGTATTGTACGTTACAATTTACGCTGAATTATTTCACATAAAAGTGCTCAATTCTGAGCAAAGTTACAAAATAAAAATATTCTTGCACCTTGTATTGAAATATTGTGGGTGTCAGCTGTTTAAAAGCCGCGTCGCCGTCGTATATCGAGAGTAATACTTCTCTTTCCTCCTCCTGAAGCTCAGCATCGCTCATCTCCCTTTCCTGGACTAGATTCCGAACGATCGCACCACGTTCAAGTGCCACTGTGTGAATTTTTAGGTTAGAAAATTATTACATCCTTCACAACTATACGTAATAAGTACTAATTACGTCCAACTGTCTATGTTTGAAGATCTGAATAAACAATGAAACCAATGAAAATTTGACCAGATTATACATACATATATATTAAAAAGAGATAAAGATGCCACCTCTCTTTGTCATTTCACAACACTAGCGCCAGCCAATATTGGGAGATCGTAGGATGAATGAATTACATCCCATAGAACAGAGCATGCGTAAATTACATAATCGACCACGTGACTGATCTCGATATAAATTATATGTGTATATTTTTTGTTATCATATTTTCTTATATTGCTAATATTTAAAATATATTAAATATTATATATTGAACATATATATAATATTATAATTATTATACTATATTTATCTATGGATATATAAAATTTTTTTTAAATAATAAATTTTGTATTATATGGTAGATTTATATAAACAGTAGTTTTGTTTTCTTACACGCGCGGTAGCTACTGATAAAGTAAAAGATTCTCTAAAAGATTTTAGAGTAATTCCTCATTCAAATTCAAGACAAAAATTTTATGTGACCATATGTTCGAAACGGACTTAGGATGTGAAATTTCTTTCCTAAAATAAAGGAAAAATTTCATTTTTTTTTTCTTTAAAATTTTTTAGAGTTGCTTACAGCCACATTAATATGTATATATATTATATTATATATTCAAATATATTCATTAGTTTTGAAGTGTTATTTCACCCTTCAAATGTCAAAAATTGGATCAATATAAAAACAAGTCTTTTGAATTTTTAACAACTTGAATTTGTTTAACACATTTATCAAGGAATTGAATCGGTCTCGGACAGTTTCCTTACATTAAAATATTATACTCATTGATACATAATTTTATTTCAGAAGTTTAAAGTATGAGAGATATTTATTCCAGGGAGAGTTGTCGTAATTAAAAGGCATTCCAT